TAATCCAGGCTGCACCACCCACATGGGCCACCCACCCGCTGGCCACCACCCTTTGGCTGAGCGCAAATCTTACCTTGAGTAGAGCCACGCGAGCTGGAACTGGAAGGTAAGACCAACAGCAGGGGAGGGAAATCTACCCCGGGATGGCTTGCTGATGTTGGTGGCAAAGTCAGTCCCATATTCCACAGCTGCAGTGGTCATGACTGGCCCTTTGATCATCCCAGAGCAGCTCCTCCAGTCCATGGCAGGCAGGTGCACCCAGGTGGAGGAGCAGCTGCTCCAGGATGACCAAAGGGCCAGTCCTGTGTCTACTGCAGTTCTGGAATATGGGACCGACTTTCCCATCAACGTCACCAAGCCACCATCAGTCAAAATTCATATTAGTGGTATGCGGGATTTAAAATTATGAGTTTGGTAGTCCCTGAAGTCAAAAAGATTGGCGACCCCTGGTCTAAAGTGTGTATTTTCAGAAAACTATTCAAGTATAGGTGTATTGGGGAAGGTTAAGTTCTAAATGTAAAAGGTAAATCTAATTGTAAAATCCAAACTAGTGCAAGTCAGCCTAGGCAATTAAACATGCTTGTGCAAGAACAAATTCAAGTGCCTTCATATTTAAATTTATTGCTTAGATGTTAGTAAACTGCTAAAAAGTTTAGAAAAGCTTCTGCTTGTACAAAAGTTGGAAGAACCAGAATTCTACCTCTGATCATTCAAACCACAAATGTCCTTGAAATTACCTGTGTCCTGGAGAAAGAGAAAGCAAATAGGGGAGGAATAGTATAAACAGTGTAAGCAACACAATATTTTGGACAATTCTGTTGCTGTGCATTTAAGACATTTAGATTTAGATCATGTCCTGGAGAACCTTTTGCCATTTTGGTCTCTGAAGTGCATACTTTTAGAAAGCTATGCAGTAGATGTTTGTGCGTTGGGGAAGGCCGAATTCTAAATGTAAAATGGAAATCTAAACGTAAAATCCAAGCCTGGGCAAGTAAACATGCTTGTACAAGAACAAATGCAAGTACCTTCATTTAAAATTTATTGCTTAGATATTAGTAAACTTCTAATAATGCTACTAAAAGAAGCAGGCATTAAATCTTGTGATGAATCATACAGTGGTAGGATTTAAATTTTTTTACTACTGGTTCTGTGGGTGTGGCTTGGTCGGCATGGTGTGGCTGGTGGTGTGGCAGGGGAAGGATACTGTAAAATTCCCATTCTCTCCCCACCCCACTAACCTGCTTTCCAGCTCCGTTCTCCTGTGCAGGGCAACAAAAAAAGACCCAGCCAATCAGCTGGGACTCGGGAGGCAGAGAATAGATGGGGGCGGGGCAAGTCAGAGATTGCCAGTTCTCCGAACTACTCAAAATTTCTTATACCGGTTCTTCAGAACTGGTCAGAACCTGCTGAATACCACCTCTGGAATCATAAGGCTTCATATAATTCTAAGAAGATGATGTTGTTTTTCATCAAAAATCTGCTTGTAAAGGAAAGGTCCTTTGTAACTCAGCCGTCCTAAAAAAGAGTGACAAAGAGTATGAGTAGTGTGCTGGAAATGGCCGCTATAATGCATTTAATGAAATAAATAAATTGCATTATGTGTGGATTTTAATAAAGTAACATGTATGGGAAACTGGAATCATGCCAGATTATGTTTTTCTTATTTTCATAGTAGCATTTTAGACATCATCACCTTCACTTTCTTCTCATATGAGTTTCCAAATGTTTGTCATTCGTCTATACTTCCCACTCCTAAATATTAGAATCACTTGGAGAATAGTATACTGTATGCCCTAATCTGGATGCTATATATAGATTATTTTTATGCTACTTTGAAATATAAATTTTATTTTATTTTCTTGATTACCTTGACTGAAATATGTGCCAGTTATCCATCATTAATTTTTCATTTACCTGACTAAGCCAAAAAACAACAGTCTCTGGTGATCTCCATTTTCTCCATTAGTTATTCACGGTCTCATTAGACTGAATAGGCAATTACAATTTTCCACCCTGTTTCCTGATTGGTGGCTTTTCTTATCCCAGAGCATGATTCACCTAGCCAAATCATATGCTTTCCCATCTATGATGAAATAGTTGGCAGCAGCAAGCAGAGAGGTGAGAAAGAGAATCCAGACAATACATTGCTACACCAGCAATTTTTTCTTATACCATAGAACTTTTTAGAACTTCTAACAGAACTTCTGCTTTTTTTTTCTTCCTGGTATTTTCCAGCAAGTGCAGGATCTATTTTTTTCAGTGGAGTGTTGATCCATTGGTTGTAACAAGTCTAACCAGCTTGTCACCTGAGCCTGATATCATGGGCTGAGAGAGTGGGATTGGTCCAAAGTTACCCTGCCTAAGATGGGTCTAGAACTTACAGTGTCTTGGTTTGTAGTCTGGGGCCATAAGCTCCAGACCAAACTAGAGATCTCTTGCTCATAGAATTTTGAATGCCATAGAGCAGGGCTGTCAAACTTGCAGTGCATGGTCCGGATGCGTCACGTGCTGGCCACACCCACGCCCGGTTTTGCGAAGGGGAAATAGTCGTGACAATGCAGTGACAATGCAAGTAAGAACATTGCTACACCAGCAACTTTTCTAATGTTGTAGTTCCATTAAGGACCATCTATGAAAAAGGTTTCATGCAGTGATTTGGCAGCTTTGGGTGTTTTGGAATATGTTCATTAAAAAACCCCAAAACTGTGTTGCCTTCCATTGGGTTTCTGAGTACAATTAAAAGGTGTTGTCATCACTTATATAGCTCTACATGGCACCAGGGTCATGTTATTTGCACGACAATCAGGTTCCATCTTTCTTTGTTCTACTAGGACCGGGGAGACATGATAGCAGTCTTCCAATATTTGAAGGGCTGCCACAGAGAGGAAGGGGTCAATCTATTTTCTAAAGTGCCTGTAGGCCAGACAAGGAATAGTGGATGGAAACTGAACAAGGAGAGATTTAACCTGGAAATAAGGAGAAACTTTCTGACAGTGAGAACAATCAACCAATGGAACAGCTTGCCCTGGGAAGTTGTGGGAGCGCCATCACTTGAGACTTTCAAGAAGAGATTGGACTGCCATTTGTCAGAAATGGTGTAGGCCTGTAGGGTCTCCCGCTTGGGTGGGGTGGGGGTGGACTAGATGACCTATAAGGTCTCTTCCAACTCTGATTATCTGTTAGTTCTTTATTTGACTGAAAATGGAATGATTTTTAGATATTGGGCATGTGTTATATTACTGGGGTTATTTCTGTAAACTATTTTTTAATCACTATGAATCGCTATGGTGACATGAACAGCATATAACTTATTTAATTAATAAATAAGCCATTTCAGAATAGTGTCAAATGTTGAATTTATAGCTAATAAAATATGCAATTATAATAACAGGTAGTATGAGAAATAAAAAAGTAATTTGTTTTTAGTGTAATGGATACACACTTAAAAATGGTTCTCAATATTAAGTAAAAATACTTTTTGCAATTACTGTTCAGGTTTATGTATTGACTGGTACAGTTTTTTATGACTAACAAAAATAAAGTGAAATGTAGCATGAAATAATTTAAAAAGACCAAGTAAAAGGAAATCTAAGGAAATTAATCATTAAAATAGACTTGGGAGCCAATGTCTTTGTAACACATCTTAGACAGAATGCCTAGCAAAGAGTACAGACTCTGTCTTAAATAACTACCTACTTAAAAATAAATTGTAATGGTTCATGGAAAGCTAATCAACTTCTATTACCTGTTTTCAGTGATTATTCTGAAAATAAGGAGTGTCTCAATCTCTTCCTTCTCCTTAATGATGAACATGGTGATCTGTATTTGATCCTGGGCGCACTATTTAACAACAGTGCAATTAATGGAACACACATTCTAGTCCTTGGAAAGACCAACTTAAATTATTAAAATGTGTCTTAGGGGAAACTTAAGGTAAAAATTTAAATCATAAATAATACAAACCTAAGACTTACAAGACAGTCTGCATGAGTTAAACTTTACACATACACACACAGATACAATGTGTGTGTGTGTATAGATATAGATTGAGATCTTAAATGTGTATGTATATATATATATATATATATATATACACAGAGAGAGAGAGAGAGAGAGAGAGAGAGAGATGGAATAATAATCTGCAATCTCTCATGTGGATAGGTTTTATACAATGTGTTTGTATGCCTCATCTATGATGTCTTTTCTGCGATGTGTTGTGATTTCCTTGTTAAAAAACCAAAACCAAATGCAAATAAATAGTGTGGGAGTTATTATCTGAACAATTTTACAGTGCTACATTATTTCAATTGGAACTTCATGTGAATTCATGTTGCAGTTTAGCAATTCTAGTATAGTTAACCTAGGTCCTTTCCTGAATCTTAAATCTAAAGGATGAAAAAAACCTTGTGGAAAATTCTTTTAAAAAAATTAATTATGGAGATCAAAGATGTTATGTTGTGAATACACCACTTCAACTCCTAACCAGCCCATTCTGTCATGGAATTGTTGTTGATGACAAAAATATATGATACTTGGTAGGACTCCACTCATCAGCAGACCTTGGTTCCATTCTGGATTCAGAAAACTGACATAGCTTGCCCATGACTAACTATTTCCTTAGTCAATTCTTAATTATCTGGGCTCCTACAGCAGCAGAGGGTGGTATTCAGCAGATTCTGACCAGTTCTGGAGAACTGATAGCGGGAATTTTGAGTAGTTTGGAGAACCAGCAAATAACACCTCTGACTGGAGTTTACAGTATCCTTCCCCTGCCATGCCCACCAAGCCATGCCCACATAACCGGTAGTAAAAAAAATTGAATTCCACCACTGTACAGCAGCATTCTGGTTTTTGAAATAAAAATAGTTAATCTATTTAAAATTCTTTTTATATAATTCTCCATCTTAACTGCTGGAGCGTCATAGAAAAGTATGGTTTCTAAGATATATTTACTGATGCAAAAAAACTAAATTGATTTTTCTCATATCCTTTAATTCCAGGTTGTGGAATGCTCACTCTCCTGTCATCTATCATTGCTGCCATCAGTGGATTTTTGATGGGATATGAGCTTGCAGTTATCTCTGGAGCTCTTCTTCAGCTAACTAGCCTCCTAACACTTTCGTGCCGACAACAAGAAATTATTGTAAGCATAGTTCTTGTTGGTGCCTTATTAGCTTCAGTAACTAGTGGAATCCTGATAGACAAATATGGGAGGCGATTTACCATTATGTTGTCATCTGCTTTACTAGTTGTGGGCAGTCTAATTCTGATCGTTTTTGCCTCCTATGGACTACTTATAGCAGGACGGATTGTGATAGGGGTTTCTGTTTCCCTTTCTTCAACTGCGACATGTGTGTATATCGCAGAGATTGCCCCGCAGCACAGAAGAGGTTTGCTTGTGTCTTTAAATGAATTCATGATTGTTATGGGCATTCTCTTTGCCTACGTTTCCAATTATGCCTTTGCTAATGTTTCTCATGGCTGGAAGTACATGTTCGGCCTTGTTATTCCACTGGGGGTTTTACAGATAGTTGCTTTATATTTTCTTCTGCCCAGTCCTCGTTTTCTGGTTATGAAAGGTTTCGATGAAGCTGCTAGTAAAGTACTTGGAAAACTCAGGGCAACCGAAGACACTACCGAAGAACTCACCATGATCAAATCTTCCTTGAAAGATGAACACCAATATCATTTTCTGGATTTGTTCCATTCCAAAGACAACATGAGAACGCGGCTCCTGATAGGGGTCACTCTCGTTTTTTTTGTACAAGTAACTGGGCAACCCAACATCTTGTTTTATGCATCCACTGTTTTGAAATCAGTTGGATTCCAGAGCAATGCAGCGGCTACTTTGGCCTCAACCGGGGTTGGAGTAGTTAAAGTGATCAGTACGGTACCAGCTATTCTTTTTGTGGACCACTTAGGAAGCAAGACATTTCTCTGTATTGGCTCATCCCTTATGTCGGTGTCATTGATCACCTTAGGATTAGTGATGCAAAATATACATGTGAATGTCACCACTGTCTGTAAAAACCAGTCTATGGAAGAGATTCTGTTTCAGGGAGCAGGAGCCTTCGCTAATGAAACTTTTAAGGAACGTTTTGCTGGCACAACTTTACCTGTTAAAAGTTCCTCGTGGTGGAAAGATGAAATTGCTGACCCTGAGGATCAGAACGGGACAACATTAGTAGGAGACAAAACGTTTGTCAGAATGCATACAGACTCCCAGGTTGCAGTTGAATCGGCCAAGGTGCAACCCTTTCTGAAATGGCTCTCCTTGGCTAGCTTGCTGGTTTATGTTGCAGCTTTCTCCATAGGACTTGGACCAAGTAAGTATTACATATATTGCTTTGTATATTTTTCTCTCATATTTTGGTGTAGTGTTAAGATGCTTGGGTTGAAGTCACTAGAATAGAACAGAACAGAACAGAATTCTTTATTGGCCAAGTGTGATTGGACACACAAGGAATTTGTCTTTGGTGCATATGCTCTGCCAAGACAGTATGATGTCTAGGACAGTGGTGATGCATAGACCCCGGTGTGTGTGTGTGCAATGTCATAGGGCTGTGATCGTGAACCTATGGCACAGGTGGCACGCAGAGCCATTTGTGCCGGCACGTGAGCCCCAGCCAAACTTACCTCACTGCATATGTGTGCACCTCCCAGCTGATTTTCGGCCTGTTTGAAGCCTTTTTCAGCCTCCCAGAGGCTCGAGGGAAGCCTCTGCAGCCTTTGGAGGCTGAAAAACAGGCCCATTTCATCACTTTCTATATTTCTGGAAATACTGGAAGTGACGAAATGGGCCTATTATTCAGCCTGCAGAGGCTTTCCTCAAGCTTCTGGGAGGCCGAAAAAGGCCTCAAACCGGCCAAAAATCAGCTGAAAGGCACAGTGCAGGTAAGGGAGCGGTGTGGTGGGAGGGATTGCTCAAGTGTGTGCGTAGTTTTTGGCACAGGAGCCCAAAAAGGTTAGCCACCACTGTCATAGAGGGTCTGCAAAGGTTTGAAAAAATGTTATGATTTAAGTCTTGAGTTAAGTCTAGGTTGTTCGTAACTACAAAAGGTATTTAAAAGGGGTCTATGTTGAACAAAAGATTGAGAACCCCTGCTGTAGGAAATAGATTTGTTTGCAAGCAGTTGGATTCACTAGGTCAATGTTTCCCAGCCTGGCTGGCTGGGGAATTCTGGGAGATGAAGTCACACATCTTAGAGTTGCCAAAGCTCCAAATCTTATTCTGCTACAGTGTCTGTCTCGTTAGTAAACAATACTTTTAGGTTGGAGGATACATTTTATTTTATAGTTTAAGAATATGTTTTGAGAGGTTACCTTGGATCAATTCAGAGAATGGTTGCCATCATGAACATAGCTGGTCACAAAACATCCATTTATTTGAAAACAGGCTGGTGATATCGTACCCCATTATTTCCTCTAACTCCTGGAGAATGTGCTTAACCTCAGTGTACCATTGCTTTGTCTCAGGTTAAGGGGATAAGCTTCTAATCAAAGATTGGGCTGCAGCCATTTACCTTTTATTGACCTAGGGATGGGCTATGTTGTGCCAAAGGCATTTTGGAAAAAAAGGTATCAAATGAATTGATGCTCTGTATTATATAGCATTATTATATTTTTTTATTTAAAATATATCAACCAAAATAAATAGAATTTAGATAGGGCAGGGAACTAGGCTGACTTCAAGGAAGATTGTGGAAAACAAGGTGAAACAATGATACCGGTGGCTGGTGCACACATCATAATAAGCCATTATGGGATCTATTTGAAAATAATGTAACACTAAAATATTGTGGTTTGTAGTTTATGGTTTATGATTCAGGGTTATGCCTGAAGCCAACTAGGCTTTTAAAAAGACATTGACTGTTTTTAATAGAAAGCTCTTTTTGCCTTGTAAAAACCATGATAAACAAATGGGCAGCTGACCAGTTTTGTTCTTGTTTGTATTACATAAAAAGTAAAAGGAATAAGAGAGCTTTTAAAATCGGTTTTGCATTCTTAAATGTGATTAAATTAAATCCAGCAGCTCTTTTCTGCTTTCTATTTTAGTCTGGGTTATTCTAAATTATTAGCAGCTAACAAATGCATACATCAATACTCTCAAAAATGAAGAATTCCCATTGTTTGTAATTATTAGTAATTTTTTGGCCTCTGTGGCTCAGATTTCCTAAAATCCCTTTTGCTTCATTTATCTTTTGATTCCATTGTGGTATTTCAGAGCATCAGGTGGGATGAAAACTTAAATTGTCTGTCTGTTATTTCTTCAAACCTTTAGCAGATTAGATGTAATGAATAGGATGGTAGCTTGAATATCCAACATTGAGTAAATCCTTCCTTTCACTATTTTGAGAAATGCCTGAATCACAATTATTAATAATTCTATCAATGTGAAAGAAACAGTCTCCATCTCCAAGGAAGGCTGCTGAAAACCAGACAAGAACAGGCTTGCCCTGTTCTGAATAATAGATGTGAAAAAGTGTACTATCATCAACTTTGCTGCTTTTAGTACATGATGTTGGTAGGATTACTTGCTTCAAATGCTCAGTGACAATGAATCAAAGCCACAGACCAGGATGGGGCATTGTTGTAGTCTACTTTCTTTTTATAATATTGCCTCATTCCAAACCAAAGCTGTACTTGAATTTCTAGAGACCTGGACTGTGCTTATGGCTACTGTATGGGGCCTCTCACTTTTTCATGCCCCCTCTTTCTGCACAAGAACTTTTCCTCAGAGCAGAGCAAGGAGGAGAAGCCTCAAAAGTGGTAGAATGGTATGGGAGCAAGAGCAAGTGAATGGATCTTGGCTGCCTTCTTAAGATTGAGATCTTTATTTGGCAACTACCTATTTGTCAAGGCTCCGACTAATAAACCCAATCAAATCAGAACTCTGAGAGTTGGCTTCTTCTCAAATGTCCTGTTTATTGAATACATCGTATCAGCACAGCTTTGATGGAAAACTCTTTCCCGCGGTTTCAGTATAATTAAAGTAGGAAATAACCTCATCCCCAAGTGTCACAGGTCACACTGGCCAGTTGGGTTAATTGGCGGGCTCTCCAGGAACCCCTTCCCCAGCCTTATCGGTTTCCAGTAGAGATGACGTCACTTCTCATGAGAAAGCTCTTTGTTGTGTCTAGTAATGCCTCCCATCCTCCTCCCCTTCCCCTCTGTGTGACAACTGAGGAAGAGAAGGATGGCTGCGCCAAATTCGGTTCGAAGTTGACATGCCATTTAGGAGCTTAACTTAAAGGTAGCTAATTTTGAGATGTTACTGTTCCTCAGTTAAGGAAAATTAGATAATAATGATTTCTAAAAATCTGGAGGACTATTTGAACACAATTGGCATTGACAAAATCACCATCAATTGCAGAAGGCAGCTTTACTTGGAACAGCTTGTGTGCTAAGTTTAATAAACAACAACATCTACCTATCCTGGTCCTTGGGAAGGACTTGATAGGTAGAATGTAGGGAAGTAGGACTTGATAATACCTGATCTAGAAAATACCAGATCTAGTCTATATATCTGGCCTACTATGTGACCAACCATATCAATCTGTTATGGCCACCCATCCCATCTAAGTGACCCTGGGTGACTCAAAACAGGTAAAAACAATGGAAATGGGGAAGAGGGTAATCATTTATTTAGATTGCAGCTATGCAACCAAGCATTATGATAGCATTGTTTAACATCCGAAATAAAATTAAATGAGTGTCCCAGATACATGCTTAGAAAAGAACTATTGTTCCTGATCAGCAGATGTAACTAATTCAGTTAAGTCAACAGGGACGATAAATCAGAATACTTTCATTTGGTCTCCATGCCTACTTGGGAAGTCCTTCAAGGTCATTTTATGTAAGTCAGCTTAGAATGGAGTTTCAAGGCCCAAACAGGAGAAAGTCAGGTTGTTGTTTAAGACCTAGAACAAAAAACCCATTGTTTATTACATGGAGACTATAAGCTGCTTTATTTTTATATTTTAATCACAGTATCCAAGCATTTTGTGTTTGGATGAAATGCTGTTTTTTTTTAATGGATCATTTATGTGACTTTTTTATTTTATTTTTCTAAAATAAACCTTCCATTTTTATTATCTATGGGTCTCATACTTCTGCTGCTTCTAGAACCTCTGCTATAGTTGACAATCCAGAATTTAATGGAACTATGAAATGTGAAGTGTGAAACTTGACTAGCTAACTGATTTTTTTTTATTATTTCAGTGTCGTGGTTGGTGTTAAGTGAAATATTTCCTGGAGGGATCAGAGGAAGAGCAATTGCTTTCACGTCAAGCATCAATTGGGGGGTTAATCTCCTTATCTCATCAACATTTTTGACTATAACAAGTAAGTCCGCTGTGGCTGGGGAATTACATAGTCAGCCCTTTTTCTCCTCTTGGGGTAATCCTTTAAACATGTAGTGAATTGATGCATATTTGAGCAGAATTCCAGGAAACTGGGAAAGGCCAAACAGTTGTGGATGCTTCATTGCTGGAGGTTTTTAAGCAAAGTGTGGACAACCACTTGTCTGAGATAGGATGAGGATTCCTGCTCTTAGGCAAGGAGTTGGATTAGAGCAGGGGTCTCCAACCGTGGTAACTTTAAGACCTGTGGACTTCCACTCCCAGAATTTCTCAGCCAGCTTTGCTGGCTGAGGAATTCTGGGAATTGAAGTCCACAAATCTTAAAGTTGCCACGGTTGGAGACCCTTGGACTACAGGATTTCTGTAGACAGAAGGATATTTTTAGTATTATATAACAAAATCACTCCTAGAATGAAAATAAAGTAAAAGAAGGAAAATAGTCATTACCTGTTATGTCCAAGGAAATGGACAATTGAGTAGTATTTTTAAATATTTCATAATATCCTTTCTAGTATCTGCTATAAGATTTTGTTTTGTAAGCTAGTAATTTCTATACGTTGAAAATGAAACTTCTACAATGTTTGTTGAGCATTTTTCAATGTTGAGCTGGTTTCGTTGTTGCGGTTATTCTGTGTACTAAGATGTGTATGTTACAGCAAATTTTGAGTGACCTCAGATTGCTTGTCTAAGAATTTGTGTCCCTAAAGTATCTGAGTCAAACAATTTTTATTCTTTTTAGATTTACTTGGCTTACCCTGGATATGTTTCATTTATGCCCTGATGAGCCTAGCATCATTAGCTTTTTTCATTATCTGTATACCAGAGACAAAAGGATATTCTTTAGAGCAAATATCCATGGAACTGTCAAAACAGTAAGTACAAAGCAATCTGCACATATATTGTTTATATGCAAGTGTATTACAGGTAGTTCTTGACTTAATGATCACAATTGGCCCCAAAATTTCATTTGTTGAGTGTGCAGTAATAGGAAATAATGTCAGATTAAGAGTAACAGAGTTGCCAGCTACCCGCACAAGTTATGCAAGCATGCCGTCACTGCCCAAATTTCCAAACCTGGGAGTTCTCCATTGTGCTCATAACTTTTCTGTCCATGTTTATAAAACAATATGAGAGAAGGTGCCATTCAAATAGGCCTCTTTGAAAACCTAAGACAATGTCTTAATAGCAGCATTGATGCAAAGATATTATTATTTTAGCTGCTATTTTTGATGGATTGTTTTTTTAGGTTTGTAGTTTTAACATTTGTAGAAAGTAGGGTTGTGTGAGACACTCTTAATTTCTTTCAACAGCGCAAGTTAGGTTGTGGAAGCAGCATATTTGGCCTTCAGAGATAGCAGAAGTCATTTTGTTTGCAGGAAGCCTAGTTCAATACTTTCAGAAAGCTTCTGTAGACATAATATTCAGTGCTTGAAAATTATGTGTACAGAAGCCTCGGTTGGACATGTCATAAAAGACACTTAGATCAGCATATCACAGAACAATATGATACCTTTAATTTCAACTGGAAGCTAGGGAAATAACAGCTGCAGTGGTGTGACTAGCCCTGCTTTAAGCAAGAAATGTAAGCACTGAACTTAAAGAATTTGATGCTCTTCATCAGCCTGGCATGTGCATGGCAGTGAGTCCCTTGCAAAAACTTAAATACAAAGTCTTCACAAGTTTAAAAGGAGTAGAGAGCAAACGGTTTTATCTTAGTCAAGCAAAGCATGTGAATATGTATACTAGTGATTTTAGAATTTACTTGCATAGATAAAAATGACTTTTTTAGATCTTCTATTTAAAATCTTAAACGTATCAAGAAGTATTCTGTACAAAGATTGCGCTGACTAGATATTTTGGAAATTGAAATACCCAATATCAACATGTACCAGTTTGAGGAAAGTTGTTGGGTATACAGTATATCAATATTCTTTTGAAAAGGAATGTGAAGCTTATCATGACAGAAATATTCCATTTAATAACTTCTGAGCTGTTGACATAGCATGGGAAAGAACAAAAAAACAAAGCTAATCCCAACTGCTACCCAACATTTTTGGCCCATTGAACACTTCTGGAATTTTGAAAGCCTATTTGCACTTTTGCAAAATAGTTGGTCACACCCACCATGGCCTATATACCAGAAAGCAAGCAAAACTGTAGCCACCCATCATTTTATTTTTTAAGAATTTTTCTGAGATATACGTGGGGTTCAGAAACATTAATGGAAATAAAAGTATTGCTGGAAATTGATTCCTGATGCTTTGGTCCATTCTAGTTCCTGTTGATTTTTTTTTTTAATATAGAAGAGTCTTAAATAAAATCAGGCAGGACAGAGAGTTTGGTAATATGTACAGGTACATTTTTCTGTCCAAGTTGGAACGTAGGGTCTCAAAGCAAAGCTTCCCAAACTGGGGGTTGCAAGTGAGTTGTGTGTGTGTGTGTGTGTGTGTGTGTGTGTCATACTCCCACTCTGGCTGGACCAGACCATGCATGAGACCTCAGTGCTGCGCTCCTCTTCTTTGACTCCATACCAGCAGCTCTTGCAAGATCTGAACCTGCTGTTGACCACTGCCCAAGACAACTTGGCAGAGTCTTCATTTCTATCCTCTTCCAGGGACAGAATGGGACAACTTGCCACAGCCAACTCGCTGTGGCCAATTTGCCACTGCTAACTCACCATGGCCAACTCGCCACAGCCAACTTGCCGTGGGACAACTCACTGCGGGACAATTTAACAATTGTATTTGATTATTTAAAGTAAATTAAAAAATATTTTAATTTTTGTCATTCACATTTCATTCAGCCCCTCCTTTGCATCCTTTCTTTAATGATTCTATTCCACCATTTCTTTGGTATTAGTGTAACTCTTGTCCTGCAGTGAGATGGCCATGGTGAGTTGTCCTGCAGTGAGCCGGACGCGGCCAGTGGGTCATGGCAAGTTAGCCATGGTGAGTTCGTTGTGGCAAGTTGGCCACGGCGAACTGCCACAGATCCTCCAGGGACAACTTTTCCTGGATTTGATGTATCCTGGTAATGAATGTACGTATTCACTCCAGGCAGCCTGGGCATTGAACTTCTTGCAGAAAGCAACTTTGCAACGGGGAGCCAGTTTGACATCCCCTAGGAAAAAGCTGCTTTAGAACAAAGGGAAGGTAAGACTGTAAAAGAGTGTCACACAAATTCATTTAAGCATTTTAGAGGGTCACAATATCCCGGAGTTTGAGAACTTGTGTGTTTAGGAGTAAAGGCCGAACCTTATGTTAAAGATTGTGCTGAAAATGTTTCCTCTTTTTCAGAAAGCATGCCAAGAATCCTTTTTGTTGGATGGGCCAGCGGCAAGACCAACTGATCGGTTCAGCTATAGAACTTTCTAATAAAAGCACCAATGAACAGTTCTTCTAGGCAGAAGCAGAGGCAGATGCTTGAGTCACTTAAGACCAGAAGAATTGGTTTTCGTAATGGGCAACATGGTAGAATTCATAGAAATCCTGCTGCTACATCTGAATCCTTTAGCATCTTCCTCTAAATTAGCTTTCTCTGATTTTTGTTTTCGAGGACTTTTTGATCGGTGAACGTTACAGAATAATGAATTTGCACATTTTAAACACAGAGCTGTCAAACTGTAAGGATATTTCTATGGAAATAAATAATAAAAAAAAAACATGAACACCATGCAGCCATTCATACAAACATGAGAAATGTGTGCAAACTTCTCTTTTAAGAGAGTAAAATATTTTAGTCATGTTCAGCATGTTTGTGCAATTGTAGTCATCCTTTGTAGGCCTAGTAGCTAAGCTCTTTAAAAGGTAGGACACTTGACTATTGCTTCATGCTAAGTCATGAACACACAGACTGCATCACAGGTAGTACTCCGGGTATGTCCGCTTGTTCAGCAACCATTCAAAGTTATGATGGCACGGAACTTGTGAAGTTGTGGCTGTTGCAGCATTTCCATGGTCTTGTGATCTTGATTGCAACCAGCTTGCAATTAAATCATTTGCAGCATCTTACAAGCTTGCTGCTTCCTACAAAGTCAACCGGGAAACCGACAGGGAAAATCACAAATTGCTCCCACAGCCATGCTCTGCAGCACCTCCCTACCCTCCTGTGCCTGCCCAGGGAACCCCACCTGCCAATGCTCAATACTGTCTGCCCATGCTACCTATCCACCCGTAGCTCTCACCTGCCGGCCTGCTTGCCTCTTCTGTTCCTGTGTTGTAGTCATGTGAGATCCTTGTTTAATAACCTGTGTCATTCTGGGGTTAAGACAGCAGTTGGGACTACAGAGATTGCCATTACTTAGCAATGCACTCACATGACTTCACACTTTGACCACATTACTAGTGATAGAAATGCCAGTCCCATTGTTCTGAACAAGGCTTCACAAAATCACAAAACAGACTACTTGTCCTGAAAAAACCTCTTTTTATTAGGCTAATGTGAATTCCTATCATTCACATATAGCAAGTCCCGGCAAACAGTCTTTCAAGGGTGAATTACAACCGCAGATCTTATCAGGCTTGGAGAGTTGATAGGCTGATAGCTTCCAAGTGCAATGTTGTCCAAGAAAATACTTGGCAAGGAGTCTCTGAGTCACGAATAAATCTTCACACTAATTAAATGAACTAATTGTCTCCTGCAAACACCACTCCCCTTTTGCTCTTCTTTATTCCCTATGGGAGGGGCCATTCACCATCCACCTATGCCTTTACATTCAAGTCAACCCTTGTTCCTTAACTGTTCCCTTCTCCTGACAGCTCTGTGCATGCGCACATCAAGAACAGGCTCCAGCTGTTCTTCTGCCCCACTGATCTCTGACTCTGAAGGCAGCTGATAACTGTTGGACAGCCCTGGCCCCATCTCTGCCTGCCACACAGAGCACTCATCAGAGCCTTCCCCAGACTCCAGGACTGGCCCATGTTCCTCCCCAACCTCCTGTCAGTCTTCCGCCAGCTCCACTGGCCAGTGTCAGACACAACACCTATTGAGTTACCATAACCTGAGGACTACCTGCTTGGCAATCTATAATGGCTGCCTTAAGAGAATCTACCCTAAGGTCATTAAATCTGGGCAAATGGCAAGATCTGGATATAGGAAGCTATGGTTAAATTTGAATATAGCATTGAATTGTGGTTTAGAGTTACTGCACAAGCTTATCTGAAAACTTCCCTTTCTTTCTGGAGCTGGAAAAAAAATCTGATTTTGTGGCTTAAATGAAACGTCCTTTATATTTCAAGTGGATTGACCTTAAGTTATGGTATTTTTTAAAGCAAATCAATATTCAAAACCAGATGGTTTAACTTTAAATCATGTTTTGTTGTGATTTGTCTGTTGTAGAACTCAAAAAATTACAGCGCAGGGCAACCAAAAGGAGAAAGGGCCCTGAATGATTCCTCTTAGAGAAGCTTTTTACCATATCTTACAATAAAGACGAGAAAAGATAAAAATCATGATGGATGTTGAGAATATGTTTGCCTGAACTGTGGTATTAGAAATTAAGGCCAACCAATGGAGTTAAATGGCGTGAAGCTTTGCGCTCACTGTTGTGGGTGGCCTTTCCATAGGCATTTGTTGGCTACTGTACAGGAACAGTGGCCTTGCAATGCCATTGATCTGAGTCAACACAGCTCTTCAGTGTTTTGACTAGCAATATGAAGGGCTAGTTTAAGCCAAGAAATAAGGACTTGCAGTTTCCTATCACACCACAGAATGAGCAGAACAGATAAGAACTTGAGACTTTTCAAGACATATCCTAGTACTGTTGAATTATGGTTTGCTGTTATGCTTGAAAGCAACTTTTCTGTTTTAGATTGTACAGACTACAGGCTAATCAGCCTTAATGACCAAAACCTGTCAGTACTGTCTCACAATTTTAAACAGATTCAAAGAAAAAGGATACTGTCTTGTTTTAATGGATGCTTAAATGTGGGATGAGTAGTCATAGCAGGCTTGAAGCCTAGCTGTGACATAAGGCAATTGGAGGCTTTACCCAGTGATATGTACCCTCACATGAAAAGACAGCATGTTTTTCCCAGCTGCATTACAATCACCAGAGGAAAATCTGAAAACCTTGATTATTTATCTCCTCCTTTGGAAATGATCCTCTTCCTGAATGGCCCAGCAGTTCTCTGGGTGAACACATTTCTAGATGTGGCAAGTGGCAATACGATGGAAGATGGGGGTTCACATCAAAGTACCTGCAGGGCTGGTGAATTGCCCGCTTTTGTGTTGAGTCCATGAAGACTGAAGCTTTTTCTGCTATGTTTCAGATTAAGAAATGAAATTATGGCTATACTAGTCTTTTTTTTTTGTAAATTTTATTTGAGTTTTCACAAAGAGAAAAAAAATACAAATAAAACATCTTTTTTGAAAGCAGCGTAATCCTGGGTTACATTTCTTCGTACAGACACAAATTCAGGTTCATGCTTATTTTTATATTCTATTCCATATCTTATTACTATTTTACATTTTCTGCGTAGCTTCTCCCCTCTTTTAATTTTCTCAATTTTATTTTAATTATCTCAATTCAAATCATTGTATTTATATTTTTTTGTCTGTCCTGTTTCAATTACCTATTATCGTTTCTCATTAAACAAAATTTCTCCTGTAGTTACTGATTGGAGTATGACGCCTTTATATCTTTTCCCTAAAGTTGTAACATTCAACTTCCATTCGGATTCTGCTTGGTACATTCTTAAAATACACACTGTATTCTTACTTTTTTTTTATAAATGTATATAATTAAAACAACATTCCATTCCAAGTCAATTCTATTAATATTCATTAAAGTCTTAACATCTTTAACAGTACTTTTCAATTAAATATCATACTTCTATGGGAACAATTATAAGCTTTCTATAGTTAATTCCCCCCCCTTCACTTATATTTTATAAAACATTAATTAAAATGTTCCCGTTCCTTCCTAATTCAATTTTCTCATTTATTTTATTTCACTAATTTTATTCACAAACATTTCACTAAGTTACACTATTTTATCCCTCATTTTAATCATACATTGTTACCAATTTTCTAAAGTTATTTCTATTACTGATATAACAATACAATCTTACGTACCTTTACAGAATCCCTTTTTCAGTTAGATTTTCACCCATTATCTCTAAATAGGTCCTGTTTCTCTATATCTTGCTCCAGTCCTTTGTAACTTCTTTTCCTTCCCTTCTTCCCTCTCTTCTTCTCTCTCCCCCTTTTACCCCCTTGTCTCTCTATCTCTATTTCTCTCTTCTATATTCCCCTTTTCTGTTGCTTTCCCGTATTATACTTATTTTTCAAATTATTTTTCTTTTCTTTGGTTGTTTTCTTAAGTCTTAAATTCTCCATTCTCTTTCCCCCCCTTTCCTTTTTCTTCCCCACATAAAATTATTTGTTCATTAAAGATGACTTCTTCTTTGTCCCAGTCTCCTTTTTTTTTCAGTCGTTTCTTGTTGTTTCTCATAGTTCCAAATCTCCATTTCTAAGAATTGAAAAACGAAGCCAAAAGAACCCTTCCCTTCTTGTGCATCTTCTTTGTACTTTTTAAGTTCCATTTTCAATTCATCCAGAAGTGGTGCCATTGTATAAATTTTTAAACAACCACCCAATTGATTTTAGTCATTCAAATATAATAACCAAGAGTCCAAAGATCACCAAATAATCCAAATATACGCAAGCTGTTTCTTTTTTTTGCTCTTTTTTCACTTTCTCTTCCTGGGGTTACTATTTAGTTACAAAGTTTCAGTTAAAATGTATCTTTTAAAAGTCTTGTTGAAGTTTTACTGTAGATTCTTTTTAATTCCAGGCAGTCTCCTCCCTCTTCCAGATGTCCAGAAATCTTTATTATCCCTTTGGCATTTTGTTTTATTTTCAGCTTAATTGCCTATTGATGTCAAAACAGATTTTTCCGATTTCTTATTTAAGTCTCTTAGTTGTCAGTATAGGGAAGGAGAGAGAAGGAAAAAAAAGCCAAGCCTTTCGCTTTTCACTTTCCTTCGCTGCTTCGGACTCTTTTTTGGGAGCGGTTATTTTTTGTAAGTTTAAATTCCAGGGTACCTTAGTTATTGCTTTTACAATTTAACCCGGTCAGCCAAAACTTTCACTTCTTATCTTCCTCCTGCACATTCTTTTCCGGTTGAGTTCTTCTTTGTGGTGGCCATTTCTGACTACCGCTGCAATAGCCTTCGGGAAAGGGAGTAATGGCCAACTGAGGAGGAGAGATGCGGCTCTCCTTGACCCTGCTGGCGGTCTCCCCCCTCTTCACCACCTCTATGGGGTGGCTTAGCCCCGAAACCAGCCAGCTTGGTCGATAGCGGATTTCTGTCTGTCGCCGAAGCCCTTCAAACTGGAAGCCGCTATGCTAGTCTTGAAATATCTGATTTTAACTTGGGATGGGAAAAAACTGATGTTTTAACATTAGTATATAGGCACTATGAATCAGTTACTTGTAACCCAAAGCAGCTCATAGACCATTACTGCTGCATATCATCTTTGTCCCTTACTAAACTAATAAGCCGTTTCAAATCACTGGCTGCAATCATATATTTTATTGTAAAATCATGTAGTCTATCTTAATTTTTGCTTGGTGTATAACATGAATTGGACAACTGTGGTCTGTAAGAGTTGTGTAAACCAGACTACTGTGATTTTAAAAAAAGATTAAAACAAATCATTGCTTAGTATAATATGGAAGTCCAATCAATGGAGAAATGCTCCCGGTCTTCTGTGATTGTGGGCCAAAAACAATTCCTACCTCATTTTACAAGCCTTTAAATCAGGGCGTCTTCAAACTTGACAGCTTTAAGACTTGTGGACTTCAACTCCCAGAATTCTCCTCCAGTCATGTTAGCTCAGGAATTCTGGGAGTTGAAGTCCACAAGTCTTAAACTTGCCATGTTTGAAGACCCTTGCTTTAAGTGTTCTCTTCAAACGCCTGATTGCCAGCTATCTTGATTTGGACAAATACCAGCTATATTGATCTAGACTTTATTTGTATGGGAATGTTTTCTCTGCTTTTCTGAGTTTCTTTCCATATAGTTATGATGCCCACATGTAACAACTTTTCTGTTTAGCAAAATGCATCATTGACAATTTTGAACAGCATAGTCCCACTGTCTCACTGCTGTATGAGTCACTTTTGTGCAAATGAATTCATATGAGAAACAGAATACTAATTGTGATTTCATTTTAAGCAATTTACTACATGTACGTAAAACCATGTTTCCTAATTGGAGTAAAAACTTTAAAGGTAGAGTAAAAAATTTAGAAAACTACATTTTGAGATCGTAGATTAGGTGTTGTTGCTAGATTAATAAGAAAATATTTGGGTAGACCAGTTTCCTGCACTTTATTCCTATTTCCTCTAGGTCGCAGTTCTCAATCTTGACAACTTTAAAATCTGTGAACTTCAACTTCCAGAATTCCCCAGACAGCATGCTTCTGGAAGTTGAAGTTCACAGATCTTAAAGTTGCTCTAGGCCAGGGGTGTCAAACTGGCGGCCCATGCAGGATGAATGCGTCATGCACAGACCACGCCCACCCCAGCTCCATGAAGGAGAAAAACACCATGAAACATCACGTGGCAGCAACATGATGAGTTTGACACCCGTGCTCTAGGCAATCTAATCTCTTTCCCCTCAAGTCAGGTTGATAACATCTAGTTTATACAATATAACTATTTCAACAGTTGCTTCTCTTCTTTAATGGGGCAAAAAAAACCTCAAAAATTTTGAGCATCACATACAAATGAATTGATTAATAAAGTGCACCAATAAACACCCAATATACAGTATGTCTGAATACAAAAGATAAATATGTAAATATTTACTGCTTTTAAACTTGCTGTACTCATTGCAACTTCTCTCAGGTCAACTTGAAATTTGGCAAAATTGCATGCCAGCTCATGAGTCTGAGAAGTGTTACTTTTATAAGCAATACACTTTTGAAAAGTAAATTATGACTAATTAAAAGTTGATGAATGTAGAGGGTGCAATCATTCTCCCTATCATTCTTAAATTATTTATCTCCACACTTTTTCATACACACTACACAGTTATCTTTCATAAGTTTCCAAAGAAGCAACTAACAAATTACGAACACTACACGATTAGGTGTGACAGCTTGGTGTAGCAGTTAGGAGACCATGACTTCTAGTTCTGCCTTAGACACAAAAACAGCTGGCTAACTTTGGGCGAGTCCTACCCTCTCAGCCCTAGGAAGCAGACAATGGCAAACCATTTCCAAAATCTTGCCAAGGGAACTTGTCCAGACAGTCACTGATTTGATGGCATACACATAACAAAAAGATGATAATCAACATCAGCTTGTAGTTACGGAGGTGCTCTTCCTAGTTCCATTGTAATTATTATTAGGTATATGTATAATCATTGCTTCATGTTTTAATCTGTGTGAGTAGATGCCTCTCAAAAAGGTGAGCCTGCTTCCTGGATGAAAATGCTTTAGGAAGATATATTTAGCAAACTTTCTGGTTGAAATAACACAATGTCTATTTATATCCAGTCCATTTGTATCTTCTCCAAAAGCACAATTTATATATCATTTTTCCAGCAGACCTCCAAAGTTCTCTCATGACATTTGAACAGTGTTTTAAAAATAGTTTGAAAAAATATGCCAATGGGATTTTTATCTGCAGGGCTCTGCTGAATTTATTTCAGTCTGAAGTGGAAGCTGAGAATTGAATACATGGTATTTGTAATATTCATATCAACATTTATTCATTTTTGAGGCTTAGATATGAAAAAGAGACATCTGTATTTTTACATATTTATTGTATATGTATATGAGAGTAGCATCTTCATTCCAATTAAAATTTAGTAATACCACTCATCTGTACCAATGCACATGTACTGAGAGATTCAACATTGGCTTTTGAAATCCCAAGATTACATGTCAAAACCAAGCTTTCTTACATGTTAGAATAAAAAACAAAAATGAAGTACTATAGCAGTATTTGGCAAGTGTGGACAATTTTTTAGAAGTAGCTAAAGGTCTACATCAATTAACTTTTTCCTGAAAAATAACACTAGTCAATGGAAATAATTCACAGCATTTTTAAAAAATCAACCAAAACTGTATCTGGATTATGGACACAGTAAGCTGATTTTACTAACATCAAGTGCTATAATGGTACTTCTATCTTTATTGAATACAATGTTCATTAAAATTTGTTATGATCCAGAATGTGCCCTTGCTGAGCAAAGCAAAAAATATATCAGCCAGCCTCTGCATTTACTTACAAATACACTGCAGAAGAAACAGAGTCTGTCCTTTGTACACATACGTATCTGTCATTCACTTGAACCTAGTCTGCTATTGACCACTTTACACACGCACACTGAAACTGGAAGAAAAAAACTGAACAAAAGATTACATTAATAATGCTCTAATTACTTTGCCAATATACAATTGTTCATTGAAAAGGGAAAAGGGATGTAACAGAACAGGTATGAAGGAAGGTTTTGCAGACTTTTATTTGTGCATGTTTGTCAGATGAAAAAGGTAATGTCTACAGCTTCTTTGGTGCCCAACAGTCAGCATACAAAAATGTAAAAGACTATTAACAAATAAAAACACAAGCTCAACCTAAAGAAGTATTTCCAAGGTTAGTGCATATCATGACAATTCTGCTTATGAACACAGAAATCACTGCAGAAATAAATAGAATGTCTTGTAAAAAGCAGCAATTTCATATTTTTTGTAAACTTTTGTTTTTACAATACAGCACTGTTCAAAATAAAATCCAAAAAGGACTGGAGTTTATCACTCTGGCCAAGAGTTTGTACCTCTTCAGCTGTCTTGGTCCAGTTAATCCTTTTTTCTTTACCCCCTTTTTTGCTTTAAGTCCAATATGCAGCAGTCTTATAAAAGGTGCTTGGTTAGTTCACCTAACCGTGAAGTGGCAAATTATAAAATTTCTTTCCTGCTCTCAAACACATACGGGTAGATCTGTTCCACTGCAGTTGCAACAGCTTTTACATTTGGCCCTAAGAATAAACAGGGAGGAAAAAGGATCAGAAGAGACACAGAAACAACCTTTGAAACCCCTAAACTTTATTAGTGGAACTTAATACTTACGACAATTGTTTTCTTCAATATTCTAAAAGTGAACAATTCCAACACTACTGAAGCAGAAAGTAAAACTAGCCTGAAAACTTTTATTGAATTATACATCACACACATTCATACATATCTTAGGTGGATCTCTGCTCTTCTCACATTGAAGACTAGCTATACCATAAACTCAAAGAAAAATTTGCAAATTCAGCAACTGAATTTTCTACTTGCACTTTATATTGTTATAAATTACCTGTTATCATCAATGGCCACCTAACACTCCAACTCAAATTAGATCTTAATATAACTATTTATCTTGTTTTTCTTCAATTATAAGTCCAGAAAATCTTCACTGGTATCCCAACATGTATGAATCAAAGTCTTATTACTTCTCTCCTCAGCAAGACTGAACAAAATTGTTACTTCCCCAGAATTGCTAAAGTATAAACAGAAGAATGTTCCCATTGGTACAATGGGATATTTATTCTTAAAGTGAATAAGTCAGAAGCAGAAAGAAAGGGAGATGTAAACCTTCTTCCATCGTATGCTATATTCCTGATTTTTTAAATATATACTATATATCTATATCTATATAGTACGATATATATATTTCCCCAAATGCCCATAATTAAATTGGATGTGTAACTAAACTACTTCCTATGATATAAGAAGCCAGTTCTTTCTCAGTTATATTGATTTATGGATGGACTACTGAATTTAATATCTGAAACACCTAATGGTGACACAATAACTGATCTCACTCAGTTATGACTTAGTTCCTGTTTTTATCTATTAAATTTTCAAATTTCAATCTATTAGACTTTAAGTCTAAATAAATTTAATTTGACTGATTTTTGTCACACAGAACTGACGATACCATTTTAATGGAAAAACACACCAAGTTGTTATATAATCTACAAAAGTAATCATAAGAATCCACACTTAAAAATAAATAGTTTAAAAACAAGAATATGGCACTCTTTTTTAATACTGGGGCCAATCCTAAAGAAATATTGCCTTCTATGGATGTTCATGTAGCCTTGCAGATTAGAATAGCTATTTCTACATCTATTAATGCTATATGAGGTATTAAGAAGTCTACATGTCACTATATGAGGTATTAAGGAGTCTAATCATAGTATTATTTTCTACCAAAATTTTTATAGCTTAATTTCACAATACTTGAATGTGTAACTCTTTAGTTTTCTTTTTGCCAATTACAGAAACTATAATCTACAGTTTTGCTTATATATAGTCTCTTTACTTTCTCTTTTTTATGTTCTCTATCTCGGCATAAACTGTTTTACTCAATGCAAGAGATCTGAATTTTAGCTAGACTGTAGTGTCAAAGGTGAGAAAGAAGTAACTGGGGATTAATCCAAACTACAAACTACTGCCTTGGGATTAAAACTAGCATTCATAACATTTAACTGTTTTTAGCTGTCATTCCTACCCTTCCACTTCAACACCAGCTATGTTTAACATCTTGCTGAGCAAAGAATTCTATTAAACTTGGATTTTTGCAAATTCTTTTGTAGCACATTGTCTGGTCTTAATAAAGGTAGTATCCACTAAGAAATGTTATTATTTTCATGGTTATACTGCTATCTTTAATTACCTCAGGTCCCATTGCTAAGATATTTATTCACAAAAATGAATGAGTACCTGTAACTGTGATACTTCCTGTTGAAAAAATCTGTAAAGTAGCTCTAAGTGTTTTTATTCTGTAGCAAACTGCAGGATGAAGTTCTGGTTCATAACTAGGAAATAAGTAAACAAAACGTATTTCAATAATAAATCCCAATATAAAAACAAAAATAATTTTAATTTGTTCTATTCAAAGTAACAATTTCAATTTGTATAGTATGATAATATTGTTAAATTGGACTGTACCTGGCATGGGGTCGGTTGTTTTTTGTAAATTCTGGCAATCTGACTTCAAACGGCATGTTGCATACTGCTAAAACATTGACAACTTTAAAATCTGTAAAAATCACCTTTTTGAAGGAGAAAGAACACGTGGAGATAGAAATATTAGGACACTTTTAAAACTTAAATAAAGGGGTTGTATACATTTTTGTCTCATTTCAAAGAAGCCATCAGTCGTTTCCTACAACTATGGCCAGAATGTGCTTTTTTAGTGTAAGGCCTTATTGAGAAAAGAAGTTAAGATATTTTAGTCAACAGAAAATTATTTCAGTAATCAATTTCAGATAATTCAATTAAGTTGCTGTAATGGCAATCAATTACTAATGTTTCCCAAAACTGAGAAATATTTGTAATTGTCTTTAATCATATTTCTATTTCACAGCAAACAAATCTTCATTAGGAAGTACTGAACTTGCAGCTGCTCTCTTTTGAAAAAAGAGTGATTCTATTTTCCCATTTTGCTTTTAGAACTTTAATATTTAATTTACCTTGGCTAAAAAGAATTAAGAAACCAAGCTTTTTAAAAGATAGCTGCATCACTTGAAAGCAGTGTTTTGCAGGAGCCATGTGGATTGAAGTGGCATGAAACAAATCCCTAAAATCCACATCTATAAATTATTCTAATAATGTGTAGAAAGGACCATTCCACAATGCTACAAACGCAAAATATGCCTATTCATTTATTCCTATATACAAAAGCATGACAATATATATAAACCAGCACTAACCAATTATTGGGATAGGATGGGGGACCGTCACATGTATGAGATACTGCATCTGCAAAGAGTATCATTTACATCAATGTTTCTCAGTCTCAGCAACCTTAAGTTGTGTGGCCTTCTACTCCCAGAATTCCTTCAGCTAGCCTGGGAGTTGAAGGCCACACATCTTAAAAGTTGATGAGATTGAAAAACATTGATATAAGACAAGCTATATTGTCAGACATGCCCCACACATCCCACTGCACTCTTTGGGAAATAATGCAGTTTGCTTCTTAAAACATATGCACATGCACTCCTGTATCCACACATACAGTGCAACTGTGTCTGAATACTATAATTAAATTCTACTTACTAGCCAGGCCTTTACCTTCTTTGAATTATATAATGTCAAATTGAACACATTGTTATTTTATATGGCAATGGTATACTTTGTAAATACTAAATAAAAATAAATAAAGTATACACCCCTCTTTTCTTTTAATAAACTACTTATTTATATTGGGATTTATAATTGGCAAAGCCAGTATTGGTAGCTGACAAAACTTTTTATTATTGACGTGTTAGCAAAGTAATAACATGCAAACCAGCAGAGATAAAATGAACACTAGGAACATAAAGGTGGGAGATGACTTGCTTGTAGTACTGAGTTTCTGCAGGAAATGCATGTAGAGCCGTGATGTTACTTCAATTCTTTTTGCATCCTGTCCCTTACAAAAGAACCTGGTTTCTTTTTAGAGTAAAGGATCTAAGCATTTTTTGCAATGACTCAGCTGATGAAAGAAACTTTCCTTTTCAAATAAATTGATAAAAAGAAAAAATTGTTTTTGACGCCATTTTGTTTTGCCTGGAATGCATAGGATTCAACAGAGAGGGAAAGGGTTATAATTTAATTTAATATAAATCTTTCTTACATCTGCTCAACAGTGAGTATAGTATAAATCAAAATATATATATTTCAATAGAAAAATTACCTGAAAACCTAGTTTCTGAAGACTACGGGCTAGTCGTCTCGCACCAAATTTTGCTTCTTCTTCACTAGAGTTCAAAACAAACAAACAAACATACAACTAGTTAAGGGATTATGCAATTAAGCATTACTAATACATAAATAATTTCATTAAAAAGCAATAAAAACATAATTAATTATACCTTGTAGCTCCTGTGCAAATTACTTTCCCTGAGGACCAAATTGTTGCTGTAATCCTGGGTTTCCTAAGCTTCATTAATACTTTCTGAAATCAATCAGGGAAAAAGAGGTTGAAAAACAACTAAAAAAAGATCTAAATGCTATCATTTAGAAAGGTTCAACATGAAGTTTCATTTCTGAAATAGTCTACACTGGGGGGAAAACTAAAATATTTTTCACTACTGCAAAGTTTTTGTTTTTTTGAAACAATTAACTCCAATATAAAGGCAAGATTTTAAGCATTTATTGTACATTACAGCTGACAGAAGATAACTGCTGAAATCTAATGCATCAAAAGGATACTAGGCTAAGGAAGCCTATGATAAAGTGTTAACTTTTGGATAGGCAGTATGTAACAATACCCACAGTAGAAACCAAGAAAACTCTGAACCTCAACATAGTAACAAAACCTCTCCCTTTCTGTAAATATTTTAATCAAAATTGTTTCAGCTCTTCCTCCAATTAATTCTGACTATATTACTGTAGTTGTTCAGGCATGATGTTTTACCAACAAAACAATATTTATTTGCAAACTATTTACACATTATTGATTACTTGTGGACAGAATGCTAAGTATATAAGCAATTCATGCTGACATTTTGTTCCTCAGCTACTCACTTTAAAACAGTTACACAATTCAAAAGTTAAAAAAACACATTTCATAATACTAAAATCAACATCTGTTTCAACCAGAAGAGCAGCAAAACTCTTTTAGGGTATAAATAAATGCATCTATTAGCTTTTCAGAAAGCTCGCACTAATGGTGCTAATCTACCCCAGATAACAAGTTGGAACTATTATAGAAAAAGTTCTCCCTCTTGTTTTAACCACTCAATTATCTCTCCAAGTATGGCCAAGAGAGCCTTCACTCTGGATCCTGAAGTGCAGACAGATTGATAAAATGAATACAATTGTTCAAGCAATTTGGTTCAACTACTGAATGTTTTAAGGGTAAGAACTAGCACAATGCTTCTTTTTTTACTATATACACTAGAAGTGTACAAAACACTTCAGATTTGAAACAGATTGCTCAAATGCGATATACTGCTGATTGAATGAAACATCACCATTCCAGCTTATAGAAGTATTCCAATACTCTTCTGATTATGGCTATTGGAATACTTTTGGTAAGACTGGCCTTTGAGCTTGAAATATTGCATAAACACGTTTGTACACTTGTTATACATGCAATGCAACAATTAAAATATGAGAACCCATATCATGATAAACTAACTCAAACTAAAAAGACCTGGCTGTAAAGAAAAAAATATAATTACTTTAAAAGGCTTAGGAGCTCCCAGTGGAGTTCCTTCCATAATTTGGGAATAACACTGAGGACACTCTTCCGTGTTGTCTGACAACTGAATTTTGGACAATTAGCGTGTCTTTAGGAAATCCTTGCCTATTGACTGTCATGTCTAGGCAGGCAGCTCTAAAACAATCAGTTTTAGGTAGTAAAGTAAAAAAGAAATGTTTCTAGTGAAAAAATAGGTTTTTCAGCTCTGGTGGAATAGCTTTAATACTAGGAACTGATTAGCAATTAAATCACTGCAAGTTTAATTGTAAATGTATTAATAAAGAATACACCTCAGACATCATTTATTCCAACTACCCTCTGATATTTGAATTTCTATATTCTACCAAAATTTTAAATCATCTTTAAAAGTAATAGCAATAGCACTCAGATTTATATACCACTTCACAGTGCTTTACAGCCCTCTCTAAGCGATTTACAAATCACCATATTGCCCCCAACAATCTGGGTCCTCTTTAAAAATAATAAAATATATTAACACTTCATGCTACTTTCTCAAAGTTGCTGAATCAGCAATACAATTTATGTCTTTACTACTAGCACATTGTAAAAAAATAACTCCATCTGTATTACCCAATAAATTATCCAAAATGTTTGGTTGTGTAGAGCTGTTTAGTTTCCAATAACATGTGAGAGAATTCTAAAATTAAAATGTTACTTACACCAACGTCACGCTTGTATATCACATTTGCTCCTTCCAAAGCAATCTTTCGCAAATTTAAATGACATCTTGTTCGGAAGACACAGACCACATTTGTGATTAAAATATCCAATGCAACATCACTCTCTGCATCCATTGGGGTGATTTAAAACACAGATTCCCAGCACCATACCATGAAAGATCACATCCTGAGGGTAAGATACGTTAGTTACACAGATATCTATCAAAAAGTGTAACAGTAAGTTTTAATTCCCAAAATGAAGTCCTAATTTGAAAAATAGTATCTTCCCAACAGACAAATTCAAAATAAATGTGAATGTTTAAGTTATAAGCATTTCTCTGATTTGATTAGAATTTTTTTTACAAGTTTGATCTAAAGATATTGATATCCATTTAAAGATATTAACGTTAATGTATTTGATTTTTTAGCCAACCAAAGCTGTTAAACATCCCATCATCTGCAAAATGCAGTACACAGAATACTTTCAAACAACAGGGTTAGCCATGGAATTGTTTTATTTATAATTTAATTTTCCACAACTTTTTCTTTTTCAATCTTTTTGTTATTAGAATGATTTGAAACTATTGCTTCACTAATGTTTTGTTTTGTTTCATTAATTAGTTTAATACATTCCTGAAAACAATGTATTGAACTAATTTAAACAAATTTATTCCTAGTAAGCATAAATCATGTTCATAATCAAATCATTTTCTGTATTAGTCGTAAACCTATTTTCAACATTCTGGAAAAAGTTTTGTTTGCTTCAGATTCACCTTTTACTTATACTCATACAATTTTTTTCAAGGTGTATCATCACCAGTCTTAAAAAAAAACTTTCCCTGCATAAGACAAACACAATCATCCTTAGTCATTAAACTAAGGAAATTACAATCCTGAATTTATACTGTTTCCATGTCATAAGAATCTGAGACACAGAAACCTAACTGAATTATTAATGTTTTTCTGCCTCCTGTGATCATGATGGCAGAGAGAAATACTGTGAAATTCAGTTTTTCTATGCAATATGATCTTTTAAATTATAAAATATAATCTATCAAAGTGTAAAATGTGCATTTTTGTTCTTTTATGCAGAAGAAATTATGCCACTGCATTTGGACTCAATTGGAGCTTGTTCATAATTTATCTTATCATGTTCATAAATTATCTTAAAATATTGAAAAATCTAAAAGCATCCCAAAATAAACACAAATTAACAGTGTAATCCGCATTCTTTAGTTATCCTAGTTCAATTAAATTTATAACAATTATTTTTCTGCCATAAAGACCTGTCTAAACGAAGTCTGAAGTATCTGAATTAGGGAAATCTTTAACCATTCCTTAACTAGCTGACCTTAAATTACAAACAAGTGTGAAAAATGAGTATTATATAAATTTTTGAAATCCAATACCTGTCACCCTTAGCCAATACTAAGGAAGAACAGGAGTTGCAATTCAGTAACAACTGATGGTTCTCACATTATTCATTCACATCTTTCTTTCAGTTCAAAAATTTTATTTCAAATTCAAAACTAAGAGACCATCTGGTAGTTCAAGATAGCAGGTGGGGAACTGAGAGAAAAAAAATAATATAAATCTTTTATTGGAGGAAAGGATAATACAGGAAACCTACACAAGTTCTGGATACCATTTCCTGAAAGTGCTTTCTGTAAGTTAGCTAGCAGCTGTCCACTAAAAATATTTCATTTCCCACCAATTACAGTGATTAATTCCTGAGCTCAGGAACATGTGTGAATATATACAAAACTTTCTTCTTAATTATACACTCACTGATTCATAAAAAATAATTCTGCATTTTTTTCTCTAGGATGCTATCATAACTTTCAGAATTGCAGGTGGAAAAAGAAGCATATAACAAGATCCAGTAAGAATCAAAGGGTTGGATGCTCTGAAATAAATTCTAAGTTCATCTACAATATAATCCCCAACCTCCAATTAAAAATATTCATCACAGTTACTCTTTAATAATTTTCAAGGCTTGCATATTAGTTATATATTCTAAAGGAACCAATTCCTTCTTTTGATAATTGCATGCATTTCAGCTTAAGAATAGATTCTAAATTTCCATTGGAGTGTTCCAAATGGGTTCATAGTGGCAAAATAGAATTCACTTGTTTTGTCCTTTTGTCATTACTGCAAGGTCCAATACAAAAGGAGTACAGGACAGAAACAGCTGTGTAAACTCCTTTCCACATAGTACAATAGCTCAGGCTGACAAGATTAATCTAGCTCTAAATTTTAATATTGCATTACAGTTTAATTGCTGTAGAGAGATGATAAGAGTTCAAGACAATGTGAACAAACTGCAAATCACCTAAAGAGAGGCATTTATTTCAGTTTTACAGTGTTGAGGGGGAAATTATTTGAATGAAAGATATAAACTTGACTGTACACATTCCAATTCCAGAATACCTCAAGCCTTGCTTTTTTACAATAGAAAGTGTATGGGGGAAGATGACTGATATTGGAGAAAAAGTTTCTTGCATTCTAAGAGATTCCAGTGATAATTAAAGAAAATAGAGCTCCTAAAAATGGAAATCCTAGATTTGTGAAGGAGAGTAAATAGATGTATCACACAGCAGCTCTACTACAGTATACCTGTGTGTCTTCTAGAATATTACATCATTTATCAACCTGAAACTCATTTTAATTCATTCTATTTTTCTCATCCTGTTCTACAGACTCCAGATTCAATTGTTGGTGGGTTTTCTGAGATATGGGGTGAGGCTAGAGATGGGGAGATGCTCTTTTGCATTTTAATTTCAATTATGCTTTTCTGAGTGACTAAGATTATTTGAGCATTATTATAATGCAATTAATAATCTGCTTTTCAATATACTTTCTCAGAAACAAAGGAGTTAAAAACAAGTAAACAATAAAACCGGGCAGGCAGATAGCTACAGTGGCCTACTAAGCATGGCTAAAATACAAAACAGGAATTGAAATTCACTAATTCAGGCTTCTGAAATGTTACAGCAAACAAGAGAAAAAAAAATAATTCAAAATGCAACGAATATCTGGTTTCACAGTCAAAAGGACTTGTCTCGGGTTACCCATCCATGTAACTTCAGATGGCAATGGGACTCCAAAGGCAACCAATGAAAATTACAGGATGCAAGAAATTCTACCTATTGAACATTGTGTTGGTACAGAATAAATGTAGCTACTTAAGTGATGAGATGTTTTCTATCCATCCAGGTTACCTAACAGCTGTATTTTCTATAAACTGGAGTTTCTTTAGCAGAAGTCCTGCATATGTCACATTACAATAGAGAGCAGTCTAGAGAATTTACTGCAACGTGGATATAGCTATATCCAGGCTCTATTTAAGGGCGTTATTTTAAAAAAGCCTCCGGTCGAAATAGGACGCATAGCATTATGAAACCATTCGTCCCCAAGTAGCAAGATATAATAAATCTGAGCCTCCGTAGAGGCAACCCTATGGGCAACCGAACTGGATCTCTGCGCGGATCCATTTCACTTTCTGCCTCCAGGAGAGGTCACAGAGCGCAGCCCTGGATTACGAGAAAGAAGAGCAATGGGTGAATGAAAAGGAGGGCCTTGAGCTTATTTACTTTTTATAAACGTGAGTCACTGAGGTTGCCAGGAAACGGAGAAGTGCCTGCGGAGGAGGTTGCTTCCTCCGCCTCCTACTGCTTGGCTGTTTCCCAGGGAGGACGGATAAGGCAGCCATTCCCAACCCCGTTAAACGTCCAGATTTCTTGGGCTACAGCTCTCTCCTCATCGCCCTTGCCAGCATGGCTGTTTCTCTATAACCCACCCCACCCTCCCCAAAAGGGCACAAGTGCGTTGAGGGAAGGCTGGCTTATGGCGTTGGCATTCCCGTTCCCCGCAGCAGAAACGGGAAGGAAGATGGGAGAAAAGCTCTGAAGTGGATGCGGAGGGAGGAGGAGGAGAAGAAACGGAGCAGTCTCCGCTTTTGCACCCAAACCAACTCTTCGGCCCTTCCTGGGCGCAGAAGCCTCCCCTCCCCCCCCACCACTTCAGTTCTTCCTCCATCACAAGATGCCAGACGGAAAGGGAGGGGGGGGAGGGAAAAAAAAAAACCCACCCCGGCACTTCTGACCCCGCTTCCCCGTAGGTTCGCGTGCAACGGTTCGCGGCACGAAGACCGTTACTGACGTACAGCCCGCGACGGCCTTCCCGCCTCTCCTCTTGCTCAACGGCTCCCGACCAGAACCGGCCGTTAAGCGACCCGCAGTCGTTCGGCAACCGCCGCCGCTTCCCCTGATGGTTCCGGGTTTCCAGGCCGCCGAATCTCCGCGACACAATAAAACATCACAAAGCGCGCGAACACCATAGACGGCGCCCCCATCTCCTCTGCCTAGAGCGGCAACCGGATGTTCTCCGCGTGCACGATCTTTCCGGTTTTGGGTCTCTGCGTTTTGTTCGATTCATCTTTCTTCGAGAGTCCGAAGCTTCCGATGCAACTCGAGAAGGGGGGGGGAGGGAGGCGTGGTCAGGGAAGAGCAACCGCGTTTTCTCCCGCCCTCGGGGCTTTCCCGGCTGATTGCCTCAGCAAGCGGGCGTAGCTGAAGGCTAATAGTAATTTAAAAAGTGGCTGTCGCTAGATGACAGTAGAATTCAGAGTTTTAGGTTTGCTGACTGCCGTCTAGCACAGGGGTCTCCAACGTTGGCAACTTTAAGACTTGTGGACTTCAACGCCCAGAGGTCCTCAGCCAGCTGGCTGAGGA